TAGGGAATGGGCACATGTTATGAAGTACAAGTTTCGTTTATAATTTCTTTATTAAAATTGTTTGCTTATTTGATGGTGACAACAAGTAAAGGATTATCAGTGATAAGGACTCATTTATTACCCTAGATCCCACTGTAGCAGTTAAGCAGGCTGTAATGTTGTTATCCAAACTAGAAATTGGCCAGCATGCTACCGGTAGCATTGCTACTCTTGGGAAAAAACATAATGGAATCTTTTGTGATCAGAAGTGGTCATGACCTTGGTTTCACATCACGTAAAAAAAAGACATCAGGGCCAGCAGCAGAGTGACCCCAATACATGATGACAGAGTGTTGAAAAGAGCCAAATGCCTGGATCACTAACATCGCCTCATAAAGCAGGTGGAAAATGGGGGACAGATTTATTTCACACAACTGGATCACATGAAGAATGGGTTGGATGAGAATGTGCTCTCAGTAACCATCTCATACAGACATATAACGAAACCTTCCACCACTGGCACTAGCTAATATCCATGTCAGCAGTCTCTGAAGAGAGGCCAAGGACTGAACAGGATATAATCCATTTAGATCTGGGGAAATCCTGCATGAGGATACTGCTTCCTAGATCATATATCGTGCTTTTTATGTGATAGCATGTCAGTCTCAGGCTATGTCTACACTGCAATTAGAAGGCATATTGAGCTAGTTTTAATTAGCTAGAGCAGGTACCAATAATAGAGAAGCAGGGTCAGCCCACGTGTCAGGGTGAGCTGCACAGACACATCCATGACCCATGTCTCAAGATCATGTTGCTGTAGCTTCACCGCTATCAGTACACAAGTCAGATCAAGCTCTTCCATGACTACAATTACACCTCAGACTACAGTGTAGACCAGTGATTCTTAACCAGGTGCTGTGGCACCCTGGGGTGCCTCATGATCATTTTAAGGATGTCTTAAAACTGCTAGCACTGTTAGGTGGGTGTGCAAACAAGGTTCACAAAATACACCCAGGGATTTCAAATAGGAATCCATAGTGTTCAAAACATTCTGTCCTTCTGTGGACTTTTTGAGTTCTTTGCAACAGAAAAACTGCTCCATCATTTTATCTATAGTCAAAAAACAAGTGAAAACTAAGAGCTTACATTTTCCCAAGGGTGCCTTGAGTCTAAAAAGGTTGAGAACCCCTGGTGTAGACAGATCCTAGCATAGACAGAGTTGTCAGTCTGATGTCCTTCATCAGATCTTATAAACCAACCTAAAAAAGGGCAGTAGATAGAAGGGATAAATCTAACAATCCTTCCCCCAACAATGCTTAACATTCCCATTGGAAAAAGAGTCTACCCTAAGGGCCATTTTCGACTCAGTGCTGTACTGGATTAATTTAAGATATGATTTTTTTTAAAATGATTGAGTTAACACAGACTTTGCACTGGTTTATTTCATTCCAAACATAGTTTAGGGCTTATCTATACAGGAAAATTGCAACAGTTTAACTTAAATAATTTTAAATCAGTTTTGTTAAATGGGTGTGAACTCTTGTACGGACACATTTATATTGGTTTAAGAGCAGCTTAAACCACCCATAATTAAACCAATTCCAACTCAACTTATGCTAAATTGAAACAAGCCTGGGTTGAAGCAGAAGGTTTGTACAAACATTTGTATTATCTAAACTGATTCAACTAAACCCATGCAAACTTGTGTGTAGACTGTGTCATACAAAGAATGAAGAATTCACAGCAGATCTCACATTACATGGAATGAGGAGGGGTTCAGAGGGGTTCTTAGAGTCAGCCCCTTTGACCTCAATTCTTTTCTGACAGTGGTTTAACACAGATGCAATTCTCCTACATTTAGTGCAGTTGCACTGCTATAAACACAAACATAATCAAACATTGTTGCTATACAAGACCAGATCAAGGGACCAAAGAATGAAACTGAACTTTGGGAGAAGTAAGATTTGTTTGGTAATATCTTCCTTCGCACATGTTCACTGGGCCATCACAACTACTACAAGTGCTATCTTGAACTCTCACAAATTTGGATTTGAATTAAAGTCCTAACTTTGTGGCTCATGCTGGGAAGATAAATTCAGAGACCACCTTATGAATGCTTGGGCCTTTTAGAATAAATTGTTCTTTATTTTATACAAGAAGTAATTAGCTGGTTTTAGTTAGGAAAAATGACTACATGTATGCTGAACACTAACTCAGGTAGCAATGTTTATGTTAAGCCAATGGAGGCATCTAGTAAAATATTTTGAGCGCCAATTAAGGAAGGATCTTCCTCAAGAAAAATGTATTTGTGTACCTTGATCAACTAGCATACTGGATGGTAGAGTGGTTTCACTATAGACATTGTTCTCATCCACCGAAAATCAAAGAGTAGCTCCACGTCACTCAGCCCACCTGAAAGGATGCCCTGTAGCAGGCAGAGAGCACAAAGTCTAAAGTACACAAAGAAGGGGAGAGACATCTACAGAGACATGGCAAAGTGGAGAATTGAGTCATATATTTATTTTTCCATATGTGCAACAATTTGTGTAAGGATAATCAGAAAATAATGAATCTGCTGGAGCTTAAAGGTAAAGTTCAAAAGTTTGCTTTGGATGTAGAGGGGAAGGCTGCAGAACATAGGTTTCTCAGGGAGATCATAACAGCAGGGAAAATCTCATTCATTTTCAGAAGAATTCAGTAGAGATTGTTGCCAAGTATATGCATACTGTATTCTGTTATGATTAATAGGACTGAATCTCTAGATCTAACTCAGTTTTAGAGGGAACCAATTAGGAACTAACTTCAGTGGGTATTTTACCTCAGTGTGGATTGAGGAAGAATAGAAGGGTCACCTATGCCAGATGCTATTCCAATGATTGGGTATCATCGAGGTGGACGTAGGTGCGACTCTATTCTACCCTGCTTTAGTCTGAAAAATCCATTAAGGCATCCACCCAAAGCAGCTCTGCATTGGGGTCACTACAGAACTGTACTAGCCCAAAGGAGGACAGAATCTGGCCTCCTCACTGATGCAAAGGGAGTATATCCATTGCTGCATCACTTCAGGGGATGACTTCATCTACAATAGGGGTATCAAAGATACAGCCCATGGAGTCCTACCATACACCCCTGGTGCTGATTGTGAGCTCTGGATTGGCCCCACATGCTTCATATAGCGAACAGGGATGGTTTAGGGTATGTGCTATACATGGCACATGGGGCTGGTCTGCAGGCCTAATTCAATCTATGAACTGACCCCATGCCCCTCATATAGCCCACAGCATCTGATAAGTTTGATACCCCAATCTATAATGATAATACTACAGGTAATAGGAGCAAAAGTTACTGGGTGTGGTTCTTTGGCTTCATATCCTGGAGATCAAAGCAGGGGATCATAATACTTCCTTTGGACTGGAAAAAAAAATCTATGAATCTATATTCTGCCCACCCCCGATGTAAGACTGGGAGGCAGGGCCTTAATTTGGCTTCCTGTTTGCAACCAGAAGAGAAGCTAAAGAAAGAAGTGAGGAATGGTACAAACACATATTTATGTACGTAAGTGGATGTAGGCACTTAAGTACAATCCCACCCTACTCCAGTTCCTGAAGAACAGTTCATGCAAAGGTGGGTGGGTGGGTAGGTCCTCTTCCTTGCTGTTTTGTCCAACTCAATCTAAAAGGTAAGATGACAGCAGTTACTTAGTGAATGTGTTAATGGATTTTCAGGACAGTGTGGAATAGTATTGCACTCTACCATCTAAGTCTACCTAGACTCCCAATAGGTTGAATAGCACCTGGTCTACAGATTCCCCTCCATTACTAGACACAGGGTGGCCATTTCTATACTTCTTAGGATGGATGAGCAATACTCCATCATAGCTGCCACTCTTTGGCTGATGCAATGAGAACTCCTTTCCTGTATCAGTCTCCTTCAGTGGTTCTTGCACTCCTGGGAACATAGGAGCTGCAGTTATGCAGCAAATAATTCTCAAAAGAAAAAACATGAAGGGACTAAGATTTTTCTTGAGCACAGGGCCCATACAAACAAACAAAGCTCTGTAAAAGCCATGGAAGAGAAAAGAAAAATCATCCCTTCTCCTCTTTGTAGTGACTTGAAATTACAGTGAACATTTCTGTTGGAATGTTGAAATTGCAATACTTTGTCCAATTGCAAGAAAACTGGCTAGTTAAGTAAAATATTTGCTCAGCCCTTTGAATCAACACATTCTCACTTATTCCAGAAATGTTCTTTAGTCCCTTTTTAGAGGGGTAGGGAGAAGATGAGACATATGGAGGTTAGGTATTATGCCCAGGATCACAGCAAAGCAGAGGTAGGAGTAGAACTCAGTTGTAAGTATTCCCAAGAATACTCATAATAATCAGCCCCAAAATGCAAAATTCACGAAACCCAGATCCTCCCCCCCCGGCTTTCCAAATACAAATAGTGATGCCAAAGTACCACAAAAAGCCCTCAAAAGCTCAAATAAAATGTAATCTGAAGTCATTGAGATTTGCAATGTAAAAATGTCCAGTTTCTCTATGAAATCTCAAACTAAATGTACTATATTTCTGTTAACTTGTTTGACATAACCTAGAGAAGGTCAGAACATTCATTTTTTGGTCAACTAAAATTTTACCTAGGACATTGCAGAGCTGGTTGAAAAGCTCTAGTTATTTCTGTGGGAGATTTTTCTTTTCCCCCCCCCCCAAAAGTCATTTTTACAAAATATGTTTTACTTTCTCATAGAAAAAATTGCAACCAACTGTTCTCCCCTCCAAATGTTCCTCTCTACTAGCTCTGACACCCAGAAGCTTGGTCCCATTCAAGTCAAACTCAGAATAGTGTGTGATAGCCATGTTGGCTAAAGCACTGGGCAGTAAACCAATGACCTCAAAGCTAAAATCATGAGCTTTTACAGCTCTAGTGAAGGCTTCTTATTTGGGGATACACTACTCATATCTTCCATAGATCTGGCA